AGTATCCGAGAAACTCCGACGGATCTTCCAAAACTTCAACATAGCCACTAACTTCAAACCTCACTCAACCCTCAGACAAAGACTGGTACACCCTAAGGACCGACCTCACAAAGGTACCAAGGCGAATGTTATTTACAGACTCAAATGTGAGGAGCCCAATTGTAACAACACCTACATCGGAGAGACAAGTCGACCGCTCAAAGTAAGTTTGTTGGGACCTCCTTGGGCTGCATCCCTTTCCAGGCTCCAGACTTCCCTGTCCCACTCATATCTGTCCACCATTTGGTCGTCTTGAAACACCACATGAAGTTAAATGGTTAATCTGTGATCCGGAAAATTGTGTGGAAATACGTAGTGATCATTGGACGTACTTGGCACTCAACGATTGAGCAAGCAAACTAGCTAGCTAGCAAACAATGACATTTACATATTAGACCGACAGTCAACCTTTGCGTAATCATGGTCTTCGCTTACCCAGATGGACATCACTTTCTCCAGTAGCGTGTTGATGCGCTCGTTCTTTGAGGACGTGTTTCCACCATAACTCCAGCGGATTTCACCACGCTGAAAACGTAAGAAATTAACGGGAAAACGGAAGAAAACGGGTACTCGAGTCGAAACAGTTGCTCCTCGATCGCTGATCCGGCTCCTGTAAAACAAATAGATGTTCAGACGTTTCGCAATGGGGTCATGGTGATTTTAACATTCTCAATGTCCGTCGTACGATCGTAACCTAAGGATATTCTTGGCGCATGCATATGTGTCCTGCAAAATTCAGCTGTCCTACTACGAAAAAAGGATGTCTTGGATCCTCGTCAGCGGTTAGTTCTGTCAGGGTCTACTTTAATCATGACCATTCATATTCCTCATACAACTATATAAATTATTTATTATATGGTCCATCTTAGTACATGTTAGTATATACTAGTATGTATGCAATAGATGTAGCAAGACTTGTATCACTTTTTACCTCCATGAAAAATGGAGGTATTGTTTGTGGTGCGTCTGTGTGTCTGTGGATGACCTTGGTACTGCAGCAGAACTTTTGTACTTTGAGGGAAAACAGATGTGCCGATTTAATGCAAAACACGTGGTCAGGCAGCGCGCCAACTCGGGCTTAATTGATGAGGTCCCTCTGGAATAGCCTACATGTACTGAGTTGACAGCCTGACCTATTTCAGGACAAAAACCTGTGTTATTTTGTTCTGTACTGTAGTGTAGTGTACTGTGTAAACGCATTTACAAAAACTTATATATTTCATGGAGGTTTGAGATCTCCGAAGTCTTGCTGTACATAGAACTCGTCATGCACCTTGACCTGTATTTAGCTAGTAAGGGCATAAATGTACAATAAATGTCTTTCATTCATTCATTAAAAATAAGAAAGCAAAACAAGCATTTAACCCTATCTAGACCTAGAACCGCCAAACCTGGTGACTTGTTGTTGGCAACAAATCTGTATCAGTGGAATAAGATTATGATTTTTCTTGTTGCCATGGCAACGGGTTTCTGACAGGCATTTTTTGCCAAATTTAATAATTTCCATTTAAAAAACAGAATTTTATGGGTTTCATGTCAAGTTACACATTGTTTCTAATATCAATAACATCACATATAATTATATGTAAATCTTATCATTAAAAATGCATAATTTATGCTAATTTGATGACGTCATTGGCCAAAATCCAAGATGGCGGATCATATCATTAGATCAGCTAAATACAGCTTATTTTCCTTAAAATTTCATCAATACTCCCATTTTTTTTACAAAAAAGGTTCATATGAACGTCTTTAGTCTGTTTACAATGTATTTTAGGCTTTATCCTAAACAAAAACTATTTTTCAAAATTCAAGATTGATGATCCAAGATGGCGGACAGGTAATATATGCATGACGTAATTCTATGACGTCATCGGTGTTGCTATGGGCAACATAAGACAGTACATCCTAATATTCTGTCATAAACACTTTTGGTAAAGTTATGTCGTATACTGTTTAGTTTTCAGGGAATAACCTATCTAGACGGTTTTGGCCAATAAAATCACATTAATGACGTAATAATGACGTCATATTACGTCACAACGACATAAAAATTGTACGTATGATAAATTTTTACTAGTACATCATCCTCTGAAAATTTGGTGGTCCTACGATATACCGTCCTCGAGTTCTGAGGGGGGGGCCGAATGACGCCCCCCCCCCCCGTCCCACCAAGCCCAAAAAAGCCCGGTCTAGATAGGGTTAACTTTTTGGTTAGTGGTGTGTGAAGACCAGTGGATCTGTAGCAATCTCCAATAACCTGGATCTGTAGCAATCTCCAATAACTTGTCAAATATATGACAATAGGATAATCAATTACTATTTGCAATATTTACATGTCTTGACAACAGAGAAAACAAGATATCGGAACAAAAATCATCCAAATGTATGTTGATATATGTATGTTATTGTGTATAACAGCAAGACCAGCAAAGGTGCTAAAACCTATTTTCTAAAAAATGCTGATGTTTTCTAAGTAGCACGGCGAGACTCCTGAGGACCTGGCGGCAAGTACAGACGTTTCATACGGGTGTGATGATAAAGATCGCGTCCTTGAGGGAAGGAAGAAGATTCTCGAGCTTTTTGCAGCAGAAAAGACGGTAGCCCGGTAGGTTAAAAAACTGGTTTCTTATTATTTTCTTCACATTTATATATGTATAGGATTGGGCAAAAACTATAACACTTATCAAAGCCCTCTCCACACATACAGATGGAAATAACATCAGCCAGAACGTTTTTGAAAAACGAGGCACAAATCAAAGGCAAAAAGAGAAAACACAGAAGTACAAGACGCGCTGGTGAGCAAATCATAACACATCATTCAGTAAAACGACCAGTCTGCAAAATGTATGGCAGAATTCCGTGTTCAGTTACATGTTACATCCCTTATAGACGCAAAGTGGGCCCAGAAGGAGGTGAACTACAAACCACTTCTTGTACCGTCACTGTACCACGTGGGGCCGTTACCATGGAAACAGAAATCACCTGTCAGGTCATCGACCCCAATGACGTCACCCTCCCCCTGAAGGACGGAGAGATGTTAGTGAGTGACATCATAGAGTTCGGACCGCACGGGACAACCTTCCGCAAACCTGTCACTGTGCAGATACAGTACAGCAGTGCGTCGTTAGGTGGCGCTACGAAAGCTGTCGTGTGGGTCACTGAGGACAGGTCCCAATGGAAGGAACTTAAAAGAACTACTGAAGAAGTACGTAGATAAATAGAATATTCTTTGAGAGCGGTGAACATTACATACCAAATCCTGTAGTAAAGAAATAGGCTTTATAATTCGCCGATACCATGGAGGTAAAAAACAGACTCCTTGCCGATACATAGACAAACATAAGTGTTTGCCATTGGAAAAAACTACTAATACCTGATCTGGGTCTACCTTTTCAACAACTACTGTGTTTCCTTTCAGAGCAAAGGCAAGCCCTTCCGTATCAGTGGACCACTTCTCCATCTTTGCAGTCATCAGTCAACCTAAACAGGACAGGTTTACTGTGCCTTCAGAGGTGCACACTATGACGTCAACAACGCAGTCTGCGGTACAAATCAGCTTCCCGGAACAGGCTGTGAACACACCAACGCAAGTCAAACTAGCGGTACGAAGATGAATATTGGTTACGTATCTATAGCTAGAGAAGATGATGCAAATATCACTGAAATACAACAGGCCCAATGAATACTCGTCTCTCTCTCTCTCTTCCTCTCTCTTTCTCTCTCTCTCTCTGTACTATAT